GAAGGCCTTGATCACAGGCGCCGGCATGCGGTCCTGGGGCTGGTTGATGTCGAAGTTTGTCAGGGAGCTATCCTCATCACAATCAGCAATTTGTGATAACCCTTTGCCAGATCCCTGGCTGGTGTTCGGATTGCCGTTTTTCTCGGGCGCTTACCGCTGGGTCTGGGCTCCCCAGTACTTGTCCGCAGGGACCTAGAAGACAGCCGCGTTAGAACCTGTAACGGAGGAAAGGATCTGTCTGTCACCCACCTGAATTTCACCGAAGGCATCGGATTCGGTTCGTGTAGCAGAAGCCTAGAGGAAGATGATCAGCACCATGATTCACAAATATTCCACTGACTGCGATCGCAAAGTCCTGCGGACACATGGATAACGCGGATCTGTCAAGCCAGCTTTTCTTTCATCAAGAAAAGACCACACACTCACCATCCTGACGGTTGTGCCGAAAGCTCTCTTGTTGGAGATGGATTGAATGGACTGAAGGCGGGGGAATTGAAGGAGAGAACGGGTATTGGAGCTCAGCGCCCGACGGCTACTGAACGAAGCGGGGGAGCGGGCAGCGAAAGCGAGAGCATTGCGGGCAGCTGCGGGGGCGTTCTTCGAGGTGGTACGAGTCGCTGCATGTGTCAATGAGGCCATCGAGCGCACCGCGGCTCGGGACGAGTTGGTGGATGAAGTCAGCATATTGGCTGTTGCCGAAGCTGTTGATTTTCTGCAATTGGGATGCCGTGAGGCTAAGGGGAGTAAAAAAAAGGGAAGCAGAGAGCGCGAGCGGAAGAAGAAGACGAGTAGAATGAGACAATTAAAACAGAGCTTCTGCCAGTTTCCGTCCGGCCGCGTTTTTTTGCCCTTTTGTTTCTTCTAGAGAGCTATCTCAATAATTTCCGAGCTTCTCTGCCGAAAACACCCGGTCCGGTATTCCAGAAACACAATACAACTGGACAATCTTCCCACAATTCCTTAGATTCGGCGGTCTTAGTGGTAATGTATGGTAAATACCATTGACGGATAAACCATGATCCTTCTTCCTCAATTATCCGGGGAAGTGAACAACACTGGCGTCATAAATGAACACTACTATCATAGCATATCTTATTATTTTGAAGATAGGAAAGTGTCTTCAGACTACACCAAAAGCTCCGTCCGCAGCGTGGCTATCACCTTCTCGTTATACACCCTCCCCGACTCCAAAATTCCATCCAATAGTGGAAAAATGTGAGGTGCTCCAACAGCACGGATCAGTTCCACACGAACTCCGGCATCCTTCAATTTGGCAGCATAAGCCTCGCCTTCATCCCGAAGAGGGTCCATCTCCGCTGTATACACCAAAGCAGGTGCTAAATCTTTGAAATTAGGAGCCAGCATAGGAGATATCTTCCAGTCCTAACTCCTTAGTCAGCATCCCCAGACAAACATCGTATCCGAGCGGATTCCTACCTCCTCGGATCTGGGAGGTCGAGGGTTCCCAAGAAAATGCCTATGGAAGTATGCCATTCGTGCTGCTGGAAGCGCCGGCGTAAACTCCATTTCCCTGTATGACTCGTATGGGCAGTTCTCACGGTCAAACTGTCCGTCTGGCGTGAAGACACTGTGCAAGTCACAGGCTGGCGCAGTCAAGAGTTGCAGGCGCAACGGGATGTTGGCGTCACGGCAAAGATGCGCAAGAACAGCCGACAGGTGCCCTCCCGCAGAGACACCACCGATTGCCATTCGATCCGGATCGATATTGAATTCGTCTGCTTTCTCCAATCTAATCTGAACCGACTGTCAGGCCTCTGGTCTCAAACTTACTATTGTGCAGTGAAGGAATTGATCTAACCCAGTTGAATGCTGTCCAGCAATCATCAACAGCAATTGGGTACTTGTGCTCAGGTGCCAGTCGGTAATCGACGTCAAAAGCCACCAAGTGGCCGTCGAGGCCGTGTACGAGGCGTTTGCAGAAATCATGATCGACGGAGAGATCACCAAACACCCAGCCGCCTCCATGGAAGTTGACATATGCTGCTCTTTTCTTTAGATTCTCCTGGTCATCGGACGCTGAAGCAGGTTCAAAGATCCGGACAGTGATCTCTCCGTCCCTCACGGGACATTTCTGCTCAGTGATGCGGAACACATCTGGTCCAACTGCGCGGCCATACGCGATGGTGTACTTGGCGGGATTTCTACGAAAGTCTTCAATGGGTACCTCATGAGTGTGTAGCCGTCCAGCATTATATTTGTTATAGTATTGCACGTAGACCGGGTCGAAACGAGGGAGTAGTTCGGGAGGGATAGCATTGTGAAGAGGTTGATGAATAGTCTTCGGTCGAAGAGCATGCAGCTCCTTGTCTCCGGCTGATGACGAGTCTGTCATTGTAGGAGAGCGATGCTGATACTTATACTTTTTGTTCAATTGCGGTGATAGGATTTAGGTGGTGCTATAGAGCAAACCAGGACGTAAGGTAGAGGAGTAAAATGACAGAGAAGGGGAGGCTTCTCCGAACCCCCTCACAACCCCTCTTTTATACAGTCAGCTTATCATTTCATTTCATTCTCTCGGGACTTTGTGTCTGTCAATAAATCAGTTACATGACTAGAACTGAAGCCGAAGGTCTGAAGATGTTTCATCATTATGCTCCATTGTCACAGGTTCAGTGAGTCCTTACTGGCGATGCACTAAAGCCACCCACTACGACCTGGGGCCTTCTACCAACTGCGTCTGATCGTCAATTGCATCCTCGCAAAGAATCCCGAGATAGCCTTGTCTATCTCTGCAGATGGTAGAGAGGTGCTATACGATGTCAAGCATGTCTTCAAGAAAGGACCCACTCTTGAGTACTAGATCCTATCGCCGTCGGCTAAGTTTACAGTATGCAGAAGGCGGAACATGAGGAGGGAAAAAACGCGGTGAAAAGCCGCGCAAACCGAAGACTGCGATATCGGGGTCCTCGAACATTTATGCGAACAGATTCACTGACGGACGATTTATGCTCAATTGCGCATTCTTGTCACTTTTTTACTTCAGTCTGCATCGTTCTCGCGCATCTGACCCCTTCTTACCGTCTTGCATATACTAATTGTCGCAAAGATACCATAAATTGCCTCAAATTCCTTCTAGCGCAATCACAGTCTAGGTAATTTTCCGCCACCATGTCTGTTCTCAGTACTCTGGCACCCGTCCCACCGGATGAGATCTTCGCCTTGAATCGCGCATATGCCACGGATCCTTTCCCTCAAAAGGTCAGCCTGGGAGTCGGCGTCTACCGTACGGACGATGGCAAGCCATGGCCTCTTCCTTGCGTGCGCGAAGCCGAGAAGCAATTGCACGCCGAAGACAGCCTTACCAGACACGAGTATACCGCCATCGAAGGCGACATTCCCTTCCTCGAGCTGGCTCGAGACGTAATGTTCGGGTTTGACGGCAAGAACGCAGCAGAGAAGCACAAGAGTCGCATTGGCTCCGTCCAGACCGTCGCAGGCACCGGCGCAAACCACCTCGGAGCCCTGTTCCTGGCAACCCACATGAAGCCCAAGAACGTCTGGCTTTCCAACCCGTCCTGGGCCAACCACATGACCATCTGGGAACTCGCAGGTGTCCCCCGCAAGACCTACCCTTACTACCACCCCGCGACCCGCTCCTTCGACTTCGACGGCATGATGGCGACCCTGGAGGCCGAGGCGCAGCAAGGCGATGTCATCCTCCTCCACGCGTGCGCACACAATCCCACTGGTCTTGACCCCAACAAGGCGCAATGGAAGGCCATTGCCGACCTCTGCGAGCGCAAGAAGATCTTCCCCTTCTTCGACTCGGCCTACCAGGGTTTCGCGTCGGGGTCGCTTGAGGAGGACGCCTGGGCGGTGCAGTACTTCCTCAACGAGAAGCCCGGCTTGGAGATGTGCGTTGCGCAGAGCTTCTCCAAGAACTTCGGGCTCTACGGACAGCGCGTAGGAGCCTTCCACTACGTCTTGCCCCAAGGCAGCGAGAGCCTCCGCGACACCGTCGTCGTTAATCTGTGCCATTTGATCCGGGGCGAGTACTCCATGGGTCCTACAGCGGGTTGCAACATCGTCAAGAAGGTCCTGACGAACGAGGAGCTCACCGCACAGTGGCACGAGGATCTCAAAGTAATGAGCTCGCGGATCCGCTCAATGAGAAAGGCTCTCTATGACGAGCTTGTGCGGCTGCAGACCCCGGGGTCCTGGAGACACATTGTCGAACAGGTATTATCTTCCCCTTCAGCAGACACACGCCAGTCACTTACGCACGAGGCTAACCTCTCATCCAGAATGGAATGTTCTCCTACACCGGCCTCACCCCCGCGCAAGTCCATTCCCTCAAGGACAAGTACCACATCTATCTGCTCAAGTCCGGCAGAGCTTCCATCAGCGGCTGTAAGTCAATCTCTCCCCATACACCGCCAGTCGAATTCAACTAACCACTTTGCTATTCAGTGAGTGAAAAGAACGTCGCGTACGTAGCCGAGGCCATCGACGACGTCGTGAGGAACGTCTAGACCTGCATACCCGCATCTGCAAAACCACTACACCATACATTCAACAGCGTTAATTGCGCGTGATACGAGATTGAAACATAGACGGAGTGATGTTTCGAGGTCCCCGTGACTAGAGGTACATTACATCTTGCATTTCGTGGCATTTGCCCTTGCGCATACACTTAGAATCATGGAACATGTATGATATGATATGAATAGAGTCAACGAGATTTACGAGTACTGCTTAGCGGATCTTGAGCTCCTTTTGTCTACCATTCATAGCAGAGGTAGAAGTGAGTCATACGGCATTAAGATTGGCTATATACTGTACAACGAAGTAAAAATGTATCAGATAATCGCAGAGCGTACATTCGGAAATGAAAGTGGTCAAGGGAAGATAAAGGGGAATACAGACTCAAGTGCCGTCGAGTTTGCGCGGTTCGTCACAATGGTATAGTAATGCACGGGACAAGTATGCAGACGCAGACACTATTCAGCACGAAGCATCAGGGATGCAGAACGCGGTTATCACAGAGAAATCTCGCTAAAGTCCCCCTCGCCTTCCTTCCCCTTACCCTTTGCGTCACTGTCGTTTGTCGTTGGTTCTTCCTCTTCCAGCTCTTCTTCAGCCTGATCGTGTGGGGTTTCATCTTCATCCTTTTCATCGTGTTTCTCGTCGCTCTCACTCTGTTCCTCCTTGTCTCCAGGCGAAGCCACTTCCTCCGGGCTTGTCGACTCAGGTTGGCCGTTCACTGTGGGTTCAGTCCCTGCAGCATCATCCTTCGGAGGAGGGGGCGGCGGCATGTCCTCTTCATCCGACGAGACCTCTCTCTCATCCGCTCGAGGCTGGCCACTCATGTGCGCGCCGGGGAAGGGAGTCACGGGGGGCTCCCCGACGCTCAATTCCCTCTGGTGCGCAGGTTGAGGCTGGAGGCTCAGTCTACTCTGAGACTGGGACTGGGGCTGAGATTGAGACTGAGACTGAGATGGCGCATTGGTTGCCATTGACACGGAGGATCTGGTATGTTGATGTGTTGAGGCGTGAATGGGGCCGAGCTGTCTGGCCTTGGGGTCTGCGTTCAGGTAGTAGCCCCGGACTCCAACGATGGTGCCCTCCGCTTCACAGGCATCCACCCACTCCGGAACCACAACGGGAATGTTCATCTCCACCGCTTTCTCCCACAGCGGGCCCCTGCCTTCTGTACATACAAAGTGAGTGGTATCAATGCGCACTGTGTCGATCATCTTGCCGCCGATACGTTCCAATGCCACGGCGAGCGCCTCCTTCTGCTGGTCGGGGAGGACCCCAGGGGTAACCGTGATACCGGACAGGTCGGTCATTTTGTGTGTCCGACATGTCAGTTTCTCCGATTGGTATGTGCCGGCTGTTGTGCGCAGGACGAGGTGGAAGGAATATTCCGTGTCGATCGCGAGGCCGCTAATCTTGGTGCTCCGCGTCTCGAGTGGCCTGGGTATCGAGCCAGCTTTCGAGCCATTACGGTAGAGAGAAAGCGACTTGAGGGATGCGGTGGCTAAGTCGATTGGATCCCACTCTAGGACTAGGGAGGTTTGTGTTGCGTTACGGAGCCGGAGGACGGGCGGGGGGGGGGGGGGTCTTCACGCCGTAGGTGTTGAGAATCCGCTTCTGTAGCGCCTGGAAGGCAGAAGTGCTCGCAGCTTCGGCGGCGTGGTTGCGCGATACTGTAATATCGACAATGCTGCCAGATGTGATGTTGTTCGGGAGAAGGACGGAGGGGAATTCGATCTGTAGATTGCCCGGATTAGCGACTGTGAATCTTCCAACAGCCCCTTACCAGTGCGGCATTGATCCTGCGACTCAAGAGCAGGATTTCGGGATGTGGAAGAGGCGCAAATTCCAGTCGGGCGACAATCATTATGCTGTGAGAGGGGGGAGCTTACGAGTCGGTTGTCCTGCGTCAGGAGCACAGCGACTCCTGCGTCTACCTTGCCTACTGTCAAGGAGACCAACATTTTGAGAAATAGGACGGCAAACCAGGAGCAATCAGGGATGGCGCAATTGATTCTCGTGCAGTAGCGATAGATTCAGCGGTAGAAGGGAAACAGAGGTGGATGCCTGTCCGTTGTTGACTTGATTATTGGGATGATCGAGCCCCATTAATTTACTTGTCAACATGCCAAGAAGGCACGGCCTGCGCGGCCTGCGCAGCCCAGAACTGGGGTCGGGAATGCTATTTTTAAAGGACTTAACAAGCTCGATTATTACGACTGTAATGTTGGAAGGTCATTATTGTGTCGCATGGCTCGCATCTTCCCCATTTTACGCTTTCTTAAAATATCGGCTGCTGCCAAAGCCCTAGTAGTGCGAGCATATACCTACGGTCTCATACACCATGAGCGAGAGCACATACTCGCTTCACGTCCCAGAGCGACTTGCCATTCTTCCATTATGATTAAGTAGTGTCTGTGGGCATCCTCTTATGATCTTGGCCCCGCTTGCGAAAAGTATTTGTCTGCTTCTCGCCGTCTCTCAAATGCCTCAGCAATGTTCTTAGGAGATAATCCATCTCCTTCCGAACAGTGTCGTATCCAACCTTCACACTCTGCGGTAGAACCGCGATCTCCAGGCTACCCTGGAGACCTTCTTTCGGTGATCTCACGGGCGCAGATCCCGAGGTCTCTGACACCAACCTTCTACCTTCGATGTCGAACCCTTGTGCTGCCAGGGCCTGTCGGAACGCCAACCGGACTCGCCTCGTAGCCCATGAACGGACCACTCGCTTGAACGACTGCAGCGGTTGTGGATTCACCCTCCACCACAGTGTACTAGGATCCCGGTTGGCGTACAGATGTTGGATCTTGGGCCGGATGGGATGTGTCTCAGAGAGGATATATCGACTGGCAACTGGTGGTAGGACTGTCTTAGGGTTATAGCGCATGTAGAACTGACTTGTGCCTTTGACAAGCTTCCTTTGTACAGGCTGTCCAATCATGATGAGAAGATATAGGTTCGGTTCTGGGCTTTGCCTCGATCATCGGGGCACAGGCTGTTGGCACATCAATATAGCCTTGACGCTAAGTCACATAAGACAGCAAATCCAATGATGAGAGGTGACTTGTATGAGTACAGCGCACTATCTTAGTCGTCAATGAGTCAAATACTCATGGAAACAATTCGAAATCAGTATCAAAAGCGTCGATTGCGGATATTATATTGTCCTTCCATTGTTTCTGTGGCTCTTTTCTGCCACGAAAAGGTCCGAGTGCCTATGTAAAAGGCGGTGTACACAAATGATCTCGATTGGCAAGTACCGTGGGTTGCGAGCCTTAGGCAGAATTCAGGCCGCCACGCCACCGGTGACTGCCCACTATATATTTGAACTGCGTCGAATTTGATCCCAGCGCTTCTCTCCGCCCAACTCGACACTCCCCCACTTTCACCTCGCTTGGTCCCTAGGAACTCCTATTTCTACCAACTTACTTGCCACCGTATCAAGAGGAAGAGCCAGCGCGGATAGCGAGTCGTCACCATGCCCAAGAACAAGGGAAAGGTAAGTTGTCGCTATTACTCTGTTCCCTTCCAAAGAGTACCCCGCTTGCGAAAGTTTTTTCACTGTCATTTCGCCGTATCATCCCGTTTGGCTGCGCTGCGCGAAACGCGGTCGCCACGGTAGATGAAATGACAGAAAAGATTTGGATTTGATTTTGCCACGAATTTCTTGATAATTTCCAATCAGATGCTAACTTTCGTCTACAGGGTGGTAAGAACAGGCGTCGTGGAAAGAACGAGAACGACAACGAGAAGCGTGAGCTCGTCTTCAAGGAAGAAGGCCAGGAGTATGCGCAGGTTGTGAAGATGCTCGGCAACGGCCGACTGGAGGCCATGTGCTTCGACGGCGAAAAGCGACTGGCACACATCCGAGGCAAGCTGAGGAAGAAGGTCTGGATCAACCAGGGCGACATCATCCTTCTCTCGCTGCGTGACTACCAGGACGAAAAGGGCGACGTTATCATGAAGTACACCGCCGACGAGGCCAGAAGTCTCAAGGCTTACGGCGAGTTGCCCGAGCACGCCAAGATCAACGAAACCGATACCTATGGCCACGAAGGCTTTGAGGACAACGTCGAGTTCGACGAGGACCGCGAGTCTGAAGACGAGAAGGAGATCGATGTCGACGAGCTCTAAATACCCTTCATCCCTGTGCAGTCAACCCTGCGAGAGCCCACCGGGGCCCCCTTTACCGCCAACTCTGTTCTCCCGAACCCCGGGAGGTTCTGTCGCTTCTTCTTTCCCTTGCAACCAGCGGTTTTGCCGCGCACGGGAGGAAGCTCGACGCCTGGGCTCTTTCTAATCTTGTGTCGCCTGTTTCCCGAAAAGGTGACACCGAGGAGGATCAGAGTTGCGGTGCCTCCCCGCTTCGCGTTCGAGACCGCTTCAAGCGCCACCCGGTGCCGTTCCTATCTGTCAGGGTTGATAGGGGAATTTCTGAAGTCGTGCATGCTGCTGAGCTGAGGCGGCTGTGCCGTGCTCAGTCTCCATCGTGAATAGCGATTTCGGGTAATTCTGCAGAGAAATAGTTGCTTATGCATGTAATGAAACTGGCTGCAAGCTGCATGTTTCGTGTTAGCAATTCGTTTGTCTGTCATTTCGTTCCTTTTTTTCCTGTTGAAAATTGACGATAGACTCATGAGAGGTTTACGATAAATAAAATATTTACTTCTTCCCGATTGTACATGTAGCTGGTAATGGTTCTCATTGTTTATATGAACTATGCCCATATGCGTCTCAGTATTGACAATCTCAGCTATTATCGAACAAATTTTTACGGAAGAAGCCAACGATCTTCCGCGCGGCCTCCCTTCCAATCAGAGAATCAAGCTGCTCAACATCCATATTTGCAATCTCGCTGATATTTCCCGTCTCGAGGACAAGTCGCTCGAGCACCTTTGGCGTCACGCCTGGAACAGCACGCAGCATGTCCTGAGGAAGAGCATTAAAGGTACGATGCTCAATACCCGCCGCCGCCATGACATCGCCTGGATGCGATGATGCGACAATATCCATATCGAGGCCAATTTGCACAGCCCGGAGAGGGTCCGGTTCTGGGTTATTCTTCTTCAGCTCAGCGAAGATTTCGGCGGTCTGATACGGTGAGGACGACCATATGATCTTCAGGCGTGGGAAAGTCAGAGTGAGAAGCACGAGGAGATGCTGGGCGGATTTGGGGCTGGATGGGTTCATGAGGGAGCTGCTGACGGACAGGGAAGTGGTTCCTGTTCCGGATGACGAGAAGCCATAGTCGGTAAGGAATGATGTGCCGGGTGTCGACGCGGAGGCGAACGCATCGAATGTGAACGATTTATTTTGGTCGAATTCGATGAGCAGTAGAGGGTTCTTGTAATGCTGGAGCATCGTCTCGGCCTGGTTGTAAAGACGGCCATTTCTCAGCGAAGTGATTAGGTCACGGACTGATTTACGCTCCACGCAGATATCGGGAGTCAGGATATAATCGCCGACTGTTAACTGGCACGGGACGATGATCATGTTGTTTCCGTGCAACAGAGACGGAAGAGCGCTTCTGAATTCTCGAACGTCCACGACTACCCGAGGAGGTGACGCTGTTGCGGCTAATCGGCCCCCTCCGGCGATACGCGTGTTCACTGTGCGAAGGAATTGTTCCTGAGGATCTTCTTGACTCTTGTCATGGGTGAGGGTGACAGCCATGCTCTGGGTGATGCATCAATTAGTACACGGGACGGATGAGACATGATCAAAGTCGCTTACCCCTTTCTCTTTTATAAGCTTAGTGAACGAGTCCTTCTCTCGTCGGACTGCACTCAGGTAACGTTGTTCTTCCACAGAGCCCCCATAGTAGATGAAGTATACCCTTACATTCCTTGCAACGTGCGAGCTGCGATAGACTTCCACCCGCCGAATGAATGCTGGGTCGGGTTCGTACATAATGATGTATCGCGGCCGTACTTCTTCCAGTATATGCTCGTCCATATCGCCATCGTAGGGATGCACTATGACCAGGTCGTCCATGCCATATAGCTCGAAGAAGTCTTCCATGTCTTCCAGGTCATCATTGATGATCTCCCCTTTCTGTGTCTCTTCAATGTCAGTTGGTTGTAATTCTTCCAGTAAGCTGTAAACTTGACCCGGCAATTCGGTGTCAGTCTGCACGCTAGCATTCGGCACTCGCGCTGCAGCCGATGTTACTGCTCCTCCACCGCGGACACGACGTCGCTTGTTCGGAGGAGCTCTGCCCTGCTGACTCGTTGGCTTCGGTGACTCCTGGCCCTTTGCGTTCTGGGTGTCGTCGCTTGATTTGGCAGATAGATTCCTGTTAACATTCGCCAACGAAGTCTTCCAATCAAGATATTCGCGTAGTCTTCTCCGCAACATTACTTCCGCAGAAAATTTCTTTTCACTCATAGCATCAAGGTCTTCCGGATCTTCTGCCTTATCTTTACCGATTCTGGCATGCATTGTTCCGAGATACTCCCTGATCTGCCGGCAGGTCCGTTGGTCGGTACACACGATGAGGACAGTACTATTCGATTCACCCGTGCTGACAGGATTTAAATAAGCATCTTGTTCAATCTCCTCTAGCACTTCTGCTAGAACAGCCCACTTGGGCTGTTCCTCCAGAACAGGTCGAAGGGTAGAATCAAGAGTATTGGCCGCATCACGGGTGATCTTTCCTTCGTACACCCTTGCCTTCGCGGTCTGGAAGAGTACGTGAGCAGCATCGAGAAAGAGCCAGGGGGAATAATTATGTCTTGTCGAACCAGGCGGTGGAGAATGCGCGGTCACAATAGTATCCAGATATTTCACGAAGGAGACCGCATCATAGGTAAGCAACGCGCTGTACTAAGAGTGAGTTCCTATGCGGACAGCAGATTGTGCATTTTTTGGGCAATAAGACGTACTGAAGAATCGCGCGAAGATCAGACAGGTCGCTGACAATCTGTCTGGTCCTAAAACTCACTCGATGCCACATGGGATCGAGCTGACGCCTTATCGCGATATCAAAACTCCTATGCAACGCGCTGTCCAGAGTCCAGTCCGCCATGTCAAGTCCAGTATTTGCTTTCTTCAATTCTGCAATACTGATTTCCACACACTCTAGGACCGCATTCTGGATTTCGCGCATTTTGTCGGTCATCGGCACCTCAAGCTCAATCACCTCGGCCTTTCTGTGTCCCTCTAATGACTCGGCAACAGTGACGTGAAATCGTGGCCATAATGATGTTTTGCGCAAAAACAGGTTACGCATATAATTCGCCAGCGGAGCAAATCCCGTCGTGAACGGCTCTGGCGAGTCGGAAAAAGCCTTGAGAAAGCCTGACTTGTTGATTTGCCGATAGATCCGAATTATGAAAGCCTCAGTAGAAGTTGCTACTATCCTAGGATGCCTTCAGCAGACGCTCCTTGACGAGCTCATGGCACTAGGCTATACCTGTCTGCGTGGAGCACAACCATGCCAGTGATCTTTTCCGGGTCGAGGAGCTCTTTTGGCATGTCTCAGTAAATAACATCCTCATAATCAGAAAGACAGTCTTACTTGATAGGAGATCAACCACGAGTATCCTGGATGTTACACTCAGGATACCGCCTTGGGCGTAGATCTTCTCTCTGGAGGGTTATCAGTGACTCGATAACCTATTCCACTGATATAGACGTACCGCATGGGAACCGTCGCCCTTTCGGTGTTGATGACTTTAAGGCCCCTGGCCAGCGGGGTCTTGCTAATGGCATAGTGTTCCGCGAGCGCTACAAGATTAGTCTCCCAACTTCTGAAAGTCCTGTAGGGTATTGCTATCCGCATGCTCCGTACCTTCACCGATCCATTCATTCTCCCGATCATCAGCACCCACAACCAGTACTAAATTATTCCCTGCGGCATCGTAGAAGTGAAGTAAGTTCGTCACCAAGCGCAGGAGGCCTAAACCTCGGGCAAGGATGACAAGCTCATCTTCGCCGCGTAGTTCGTTGAAGATGTCCTGCTGATATTGCTGCATGCGACGCCGTCAGCATATGTATTGCAGCCCGGGAACAATCTTTCAAATCAAACAAGGCACTTACCAAGGGCAAGGACAGCTTCACCGGGACATTGACGCGTTCAGGTGGCATGACGAGCCTCTTGACGCGGAAAAACGTCCTTCTTGCGACAATTGAGCATTAATGAGGACGCGATATCACCTGACTATGATGTAACCGTCCGAATTGGCTCAGATAGTTTGGACTACCTATCTCGGCCTAGCGCAATAAATGGTCTCATAGATCAGGATTATTATTAGCAACGCCGACAGTAACTTCATAAGACAATTCAGCTGGACACCCTGAGCCGGTGATTCAGAAGCATAAAGATTTCTCACAGATGCGCATGTTGGATTTATGTACATTGCGCCACACAGTAATGCTTTGTGATTGCCGCCTTATAGCGAGGATTGACGTGGATCATCTGGTGTTCCGTATCCTTGCTAAACGGCCCCATGCTGACTCTGAGGATCTACTTAGCAAAGACAACGGCTGTGCGTAAGGCCGGACATATAGAATGGACGGAGTCGATTGGTGTTTGTCTACTGAGTTGGTGAATACAACTTTCAAGCGGTGGCAATCTACTGTTTCGCTCAACAAGCGGACCCTGAGACGTCAAAGCTGTGAATATTGGAATAACGCCACTGGTCTCCAGTCCTCCTCCCATTCTACAAGAAGTCCTTGTGATAATTAGCAGTTCGTGAGCTGTACATGCCCAAGCATGGTGCCCCTGACTCCTCAAATTCTTTGCTCAGGCAGCTATTGCTTGAGATCCGAAACAGATTTCAAAGTTTACCAAATTTGTGAAACAGGATTTGCAGATTGTTTGGTACTATTCTGAATGATCATCGGTCTGGTACAGTTGGGTAGTGTGTCATTGCTGTCGTTGCACTCATTAATACAAAATAGAAAACAAGTAAGGAGGATGGAAGGAGCTGAAAATCACAGCGACTTTGTCTGAGAAGACGGGATGATGCTGAAATAATTGTCCACAGCACAATACATCATTCTACTGGTTCAGTTCCTTCTTGCGCTGTTCGATCTCCTCCCTCGAGGCTTTGGGTGGCATACCTATATCGCTATCAGTAGGCGGCATAATGTTGTTTTTGTGAAGGTATTCTCACTGTCAGGAATCTGGGGTCCCTTAGAGATATGATCAAAGGCAGTAGCCTTCTTTTGCTCATGCTCTGAGCCCTTCGAGGAGTTGTCTTCGGGGTTGTTGCTTCCCTGGGCCGTGGGGAAGTTGGAAGTATCTGACGGAATGACAGGCATGATGAATCGCGGTGAACGGAAATTTCTTATCTTCTTAGATTAGCTGATAGATAGTGACTTTGAAATGTTTCTGCAAACTCAGGAAGATAGTTCATAAATCCAGGAAATCGAAAAGGCAGTAAGCAAGCAGCCCTACTTTATACTTGGTGTAATTCGTGGTAGGCGGGATGACGTCGTCGTAGGTATACTTCATGCATTTATGTTGTGCAGCAGTCCACAAGACCAGGATTAACTCCTTGGATAAATTTAGTTAACGGGCAATTATTTCTAAAGTAATAATGACTAGCATTGAATCCAGTAGGTTCTCTAGGTCCTAGAAGTCTGACATCCAGTGAAGCATCCTATGTATATAACTAAACCTTTGTACTGTTAGTCAACTTTAGCAGGTGAAACAAACGTATATTAGGCAGGCATTTCTTCCCTTAAACAAATGTGTGGCCTAAACAGGACGAAATTATTCAGAGGAAAACGATAGACATTGCACTACGTAATTGACATGGTTTCTAGATGTTAATAAATATGTTCTATTAACCTCGCAGTAGATATCTCTAAGACTTCAATAGGTGATAGGTGCTGCTACTCTGTAGATACAGCCTGCTTCATAGTACGGAGATAGTGATGGAAGTTCCCCACCTCTGCTTTGGTTTAGTGCCCCCCAGTAGGTAACCACCAAACTCCAGTGGCCGAAGTGACCGAACTCAATAGGCTCATCTTCTCCCTCTCTCTCTCGTAACTCCTACACAATTACTACGTTGCCTTTTTGCTTCATAGACTCCTGCACTTCTTATAGAGAAGAAGCTGTTTTATCTCCTCCCTTCACTCTCTTTATTCAATTCAGATTCTATCATTTCCCCAGCCTCTCTTATAACCCCGTGATTGCCGCAGTGTATCAACATCCGTGCCTAGCACACGAGCGCTCTTCGATTCTCATTGAAGCAGCCACACATATGCTCATGCGATGAATCTGCGACACACCATATAAGAAAAAGTTATTGGTGCCACCCATTCTTCGTGCAACTTATTCCTCTGTCGCCCTGTCTCGGCGCTCTGAGTGACCCGTCATGCCGTCCATCCTTAGCGATGCCGATAAAGAAACCGTGAAGCGGAATGTCTCCAAACCTTCGAACAAGATCCTTGCTGTAGCCGTTGCGCGGCTCTATGTCGCATATCCCGATCCGCAAAGATGGACATATACAGGTCTGCAGGGTGCTGCGGTGCTTGCCAACGACCTGGTCGGGCGGACTTTCTGGCTGAAGCTAGTGGACGTATCTGTGAGTGGTTACTTCTCGGAACAAGGCTGGAATTCAGGAAACAGACTGCTGACGGCTCCCCGCCACTTCGGAGCATAGCCTGCTGGGAGAGGTGTCATCTGGGACCAGGAAATCTACGATAATTTCGCATACAATCAGGACCGCACGTTCTTTCACACATTCGAGCTTGAAGACTGCGCGGCCGGTTTCTCCTTTGCTGATGAAAAAGAGGCAAAGACCTTTATCAAGAAGATGCATGAGCGGGAGAAACATGCAAGCAAGGAAACCCGTCAAACACCGTTCGCATCAACTCGAGGCCAGGGTCCTGCCCCTATGGTCAATGGCAAATCCGGCGTGGGACGCTCGCTGTTCGGCAGTCTATTAGGCCATCGGTCACCCTCTGGTTCGAGTGCACCACCTCCTGCACCCGCACCCGCAGCACCTTCCGCGCCTCCGACTCAATTAGCTCCTCCGAGCGGCCCTCCACGCAAGGAGTTGCCCTTCGATACTAGTGATCCATCATGGAAGGGGCTCCTAGATGAACTTCTGCAGATGGGAATTACAGAAGACCAGATTGCGGAGAATTCCGACTTCATTAAGGCCTATATAGAACAAAGGCAAGGCAACGAAGCCGACCCCACATCCTCTCCTTCGGAAGATCAGAGGCGAGGTAAGGCTCCGCCTCCTCCACCGCCATCTGCGCCTCCCCTTTTGAAGACCACGCCTATCAGTCCACAAAACACCGGCAACAGCGCGGGCAGTCGACGGGGCGCGCCGCCACCTCCTCCCCCGTCGCGCAAAGCTCGTCCTGAAGCGGAAGAGGAACCGGCGCCTGCGCCAGCTCGTGAACCGTCACCTCCGCGACCCAGGTTCCGTGCGCCGCCTCCAATCGCAGATGCCGGGAAGCTCGCTCACACCGTTGGCCCACCCGTTCCTGGCCGACAGAGAGCCATGTCCGGTACCAACCCTGGCCCTCCTCCTCCTCCGCGACCTCCCAAGACTCCTATGGAGGATGGTGGTGGCCCGCGTTTCGGCGTTCCTCCTCCATTCCAGGGGGAGCGGAAGGTATCCGCGCCGCCAGCACCGCCCAGCCGTAGCTCGGCACCTCCAGGGCCGCCTCCTCCTCCTCCGCGAAGCCCTGCCACCCCACCACAGCTTCCTCCCAAAGTTCCTCATGCGCCGACCTCTGCGGCAGGTCCTCCGCCTCCCCCACCGGCCCCCAATCATGTCCCACCTCCCGCGCCTCCACCAGTTCCTGCTGCTTCACGGCCAACTCCTGCCCCTCCAGCCACTAGTGCCGTGCCTCCTCCGCCTCCACCACCTTCAGCGAGTGTTCCACCACCACCTCCCCCTCCTCCTCCAGCAAGCGCAGGACCACCCGCACCTCCGCCTCCTCCTCCTCCCCCGTCAAGCGCAGGCCCTCCACCACCCCCGCCGCCTCCGCCGGCTCCTGGCGGCTCTGCGCCTCCTCCACCTCCGCCTCCTCCTGGTGCCGGTGCACCTCCCCCACCTCCCCCTGCGGGTGGCGCGTCTCCACCTCTGCCCAAGCCAACTGGTGGCAGGGATGACCTCCTGGCTGCTATCCGAGCTTCTGGAAGTGGCGGATTACGGAAAGTCAAAGATTCCGAGAAGAGAGATCGGAGCGCTGCCCTTGTTCCCGGATCTGCTACTGAGTCGACCGCGCCAACTCCAAGTAGCGGAGGTGCCGCTCAAGGAGGTTTGGCTGGCGCTTTGCAAGACGCCCTTGCGAAGAGGAAGCAAAAAGTTAGCGGTAGCGGTAAGTTTCTCCCACATCAATTGTTCGCTAGCGAAACAAGCTGATAGTTCGTACAGATGATGAGAAGGACGATGACGACGATTGGTGATCCCACTCGCATGCTTGTAGCTTCTCTGTTTGTTGCTGAGTTTTCAAGTTCTATTCAATGCATGAATTGGCGGTCACAGGATGGGGTTCATCTTCTCGTTGTTGATACCATGCATATCTGCGACATTTTTCATTCTTTTTTCTGTCGCTTTCAACTAGTGACGAAGACTTGTTCGCGAGGGAAAGTGGCGCTCAGCATCCCCTTGAAGGTTTTATCAAAAGGGACGAGAACGAGAATTGATCCTAGAGACTCGCGGAAAGAATATCTATGCAAATCACGCCTAAATTCCCTTCAACCTTTTTAGAAGGCTTTTACAATCACGCTGCCGACAGTACGTCAGTTCCGGGACATTGTTCTAGCTCTGTGTACTTGGCAACGGATAAGCTACGTTCAGTAAGTAATTTTGAGCGTTGCAGTGTAGATCGACCACCACTAGATAGACCACGTTCTCGGAGGCAATATCTACCAATGATGGAGATAATTGGCGATGACGGTGAAAGTATACGGAACATTGTTGATCCGTTATCATCTTGCGGAAACACTGCGAGCAAGAAAAATAGATGGAAGTATCTGATGAACTCATCAATTTTCGGAAGAAAACAATAGAGAAAGGCGACTTTCAATCAATCTGGTTGACTGCTCGTTAAGGCAGCCAGATATGCTGTCATCGTCGCATCTGAAACCCTCAGCCCCTTCAGCGACGCTCCTCCGATTTTTGCGCTCTCAGTCCGATTTTCTCAGCGTCAACTCATCAACATGTGCACGTCCTCCCCGAAGTAAGCCATATGTACATCAGATCCTTCCCTGCAATTCATCCTCAAGAGCTTCGTCGACCTGGACTTGCACTGCTTCAGCACCACGCCGAACGACTTTGCAGACCAGTCTAGTCAGAATCCATACCCTCGCGGCGAGAAGTCATAGCAGTTCGCGGCCTCGAATTTGGCTCTGTACCGGCCAAGCTGGACGCTCGTCTTTGATTTTCCCCTTATCAAACGCACCGTACTCACGATCCGTTTCCACCAAGAGCCGTCCACTCCTACGCAGACTTTTAGATCTGAGGCGTAGCAACGCCTCAGCGGATAAGCACAACCGCAGCGGCGGGCCCGCGCTGATTGACGATGGAACAGAGGGAGGTTTCACTATTGGCCGAGGGCTAGCAGCGAAAGCAACGAACGAGCCACGGCTACGGTGTACAGAGTTTGACAAGAACGGGAACGTCACTCTTGTGAATGGCGAGTTCAAGAAAAGCGAGTTGATCGCAAAGGTGCGTTTCTTATCTGCATGACACTGCGTGCTGAATATAGAATTAATGATCGATTGAAGTATGGTCTTCTTCCTAGAGATCTTCGCAAAATCGACTCCTCGACTTTGCCGCACATCCTTGTCCGACCGAGCGCGATCCTCATCAACCTGCTGCATCTTCGCGTTCTGATCAAGCATGATCGAGTCCTTGTGTTTGATGCGTACGGATCGACCGATTCGTATATGCAATCGTTATTTGTATATGACTTGGAGGGAAAGCTACGGCAGAAACAGACAGGGGGATTCGGTGCTCTACCATACGAATTCCGCGCCCTGGAAGCGGTGCTGATCAGCGTTACCACCGGTCTGGAGGAAGAATTCAATGGTGTGAGGGAGCCGGTCGTGCGTGTCCTTCGTGCTTTGGAAGAAGATATCGACCGCGATAAGTTGCGACATCTCCTGATTTACTCCAAGAAACTCGGTACCTTTGAACAGAAAGCTCGCTTGGTGCGAGATGCCATTGATGACCTCCTTGAAGCGGACGATGACCTGGCTACAATGTATTTGACCGAGCGTGCCAATGGCGTTCAGCGGGAGGAAGATGATCATCAAGAAGTGGAGATGCTTTTAGAATCCTATCACAAAGTCTGCGATGAAATTGTCCAGGCCAGCGGCAACCTGGTGACAAGCATTCGCAATACCGAGGAAGTGTAGGTTTTCTTTTCCGCCCTCTTACCAGTCTAGTTACGCAGTTACTGATTGTTGCAGTGTGAAAGCCATCCTCGACGCAAACCGTAACTCTCTCATGTTACTTGACCTTAAATTCAGTATTGGAACCCTGGGTCTCGCGACGGGCACTCTCTTCTCCGCTCTCTACGGCATGAACTTGAAGAACTTCATCGAAGAGTCCGATCTCGGCTTCGGTGCTGTCTCTGTGACTTGCTTTTTGATCACCGCGGTCGTTTGCGTTTACGGACTAGCGAAGCTCCGGAAGCTCCAGCGTGTTCGTATGTGGGGAGAAGCCGGTGTAGGCGGCGCACCCCTCTCACCTCTCACGGCCAGAAATGGTCTCTTGTCCGGTCATCGGTCCAACTGGCGGGCGGACTCTATTGAACCAGTCTGGGGCAGTCTTCCCGGCGAAGCTCGAACGGAGCGAATCAAGCGTCTTCGGGACAGCGCGGCGGCTGCAGCCGCTGCCAGGTCTGCAAGTGCGGATGCAACAGCCCAGAAGGCATCTGCTTTACGAAACTCGGGGAATGCATATGGCGGAGCGCCAAAGGGCTCCGAGCATTATCCCACACGCGAGACTGAGGCCAGTGGCAGTTCTGCCTAGATCGCCAGTTGTGCCACTGCCGTTGATACGCTACTTTCTTCGGCGTTAATCCGTCCCGTTATTTCTTGCTACGTGACGAGTATATTCGTCTACTTTCTCAAATTATGAGGCACCGTCTTACTCCAAGCGCTTGTGTATAGTTCACCTCCCAGCTCATTTGAAGCTTGTATCTGCGATGCTTAGAGAATCCGCTCACATGTTCATGATTCATCATTATGTTAATAGACTAGATAGATGGAACTATTGAGGTACTCATGTATTTATAATTTCCTCGGCCTCCTCCACTGCAATCACACGGTATGCCCAACTTACAATTCATCCTTTTTGTCGGTGGAACGCAGCCGCAACATAGCCACACCATGCGGCCGAACATGAGCCGTAACCGTGCCACTAGGCTGCACCGACCCAACCTTGGACCCCATCAACACCTTTGAATTCGAAGGCAGAGGCCGCGAGTAGACCTCGTGCGCCCCACCCATAGCCGTCAAGTTATACGGCGACTGCCCAGTAAACGTCCCATTTATGATGGCCGCCGCATCCTCATTGCTCATGCGGTTCGCCCACAGATCATAGACATCCCAGTGCTGCTTGACCTGTTTCGCCGTCCCCTTGGGCCCACTCTCCCAGAAGATATCGACCAGCGTGGCGTTCATCTCGCGAGTCTTGGACCCCGCGTTCAGCAGCAGCACCAGCTGGTCGCCGCCGCTCAGCGCACCAGAGTACATCTGGATCTCGCCCTTGCCGTTCTCGTCGACGTCGTCGACGAAGTAGCGCCACTGGCGGACGGGGGTGGAGGCAACGGGGTCCTGCGAGACGGCGAGGACGGCCGGGTTCTGGAGGATGGAGAGGGTCGGGGGGTCGATCTTGGTCATGACGTTTGTCATGAGGAGGGGGGACTTGAGGGCGGCCCAGAGGCTCATGTGGGCGATCGATTCGTCGTCGGTGAGGCCCCCGTTTCCGACCTCTGCGCTGCATCAGCTTACTCCATCCTCGGGGTGGTGGATGTTGTGCATGGGGTACTGGGGTGTGTAAACTTACGGAGCATGTCAAGGTCGTTCCAGGCGCCTGGGATCGCCTTGGACGGGTAGTAGACGGCCTTGTTGAGGACGTTCATGATGGAGCATTTGTAACCCGGCGTCTTGCAGTCCAGGCCCTCCAGTTCGGAACAGGGGCAGTTGACGTCGTCGCGGTCCCAGACGTTGTTCAGGTCGCCTGTTGTGCGCCAGGAGTTGGCGATGGTTGGGGCGAAGTTCCAGGGTCCGTCGACGCCCCAGTTGCACAGGGAATAAAGCATTGGGCGGCCGGTTGCATTGAGGGCCTTGAACATGGCGTTGTAGCGGTCAAAGGATAGCTTGGGGGTTCCTTCTTCGCCTTCGTTGTAGCAGTTGTCGTATTTGAGGTAGTCGATCTTGGGGGTTTGCTGTCAGTCTTGGATAATGTCAGCGGAATGGAGAGAGAGACATACACCCCAGCTTGCCCACAGGGCAGCGTCCTTTTCCTCGTGACCGAGAGAGCCCTCATACCGCGCGCAAGTCCATTTTCCAGCGCTGGAGTAGATGCCGATTTTCAGGCCCAACTCATGGATTTTGTCCGCGAGATGAGCAATCCCCTTCGGGAACTTCTCGGAGTCGGCGATGAGGTAGCCAGACGAGTTCCGGCCGGCCGACCAGCAGTCGTCCAAGACAACATATTCGTATCCCAAGTCTCTGAAGCCAAGAGAGACAATTCTCTCTGCCGCGTTGAGAATGACTGTCTCGTTGAGTTCACAGGCGAACGAATTCCAGGTGTTCTGTATAGCAACGAGGTAAGCGATCCATATCGGCATGTCTTATGCAAGCGCAAAGAACCCAATGACTTACCCATCCCATCTGCGGTGTCTGTGCTAAGCCGTTGTTCAATGCAGAGGCCTTGAGGCCGAAGAGCGCCGCGGTGAGCAGCAGCGAAGAGAGCCCCATTGCAGAGCGACGGAAGTATTTTCAGGAATACACTTATTCTCAGCCACGCCCGAAGTAATTGGCAAGTGCAGATATTATTCTTCCATATTGCCCTTGATTATCAGGGACTTTATACCCCTGGTTATGCACCTCCGGCTCCCCCGCATGGAATCGCATAGCAATTGACAAGAACGGTGTTTCTCCGTGCCTGCAGCCTATTTGCGCCGTAGACTTTTCTCGAACTGGAGAAGCGGGAGTCTAAACCTCCATACAACTGTACATGAGTGGTTGATATCCTGGGATTCCTGGCAGACCATGGATAATGACATCAAAGGAGGAGAAACCTCGGAGATATTGTGGTCTTGAATATTCCCCGCATTCTCATCGGATTCCCATTCCCGTGGGTCTTGGAATATGAGATGTCGATCACTCCCACGCTTATACAACTGACCTTGGACGAAAACTAGCTGCGGTGAGTGATATTTATCTATCGAGTGGAGTTGCGAAAAGTCAATGCGACTTTCCTAGATTCTCCCACGCCGTGACTGGAGGTTACTGTACAGTTTGACTCGGAGCTTAAACACGAGTCAAGAAATGGCTCTCTTTTGCAAGGTATCTTGGGTTCCATGGCAATATCATCAATGAGTAGGCTGGTTGCCCTTTCCCTGTCCTTTGTGGAGGCCCTTGGCACGTTCAATCCATGTCTTCGCTGCGACCTCGACCCCTCCTTCTCGAGCGCACTCACGCTGGACAACCGCCGCGACCCTTTCTAGGATCTGCTCGGCAGCCCGAACAGCATCGGGAGCACTACATTGGACTGCCTGCGAAGCCTGTGCGGAATGAACCCTCGAGGTCCACTCCTGCGTTGTCCGTCTCCGGCCGCCGATCACGCCCATATTCCTTGTGCTGGGGATGCGTAACAGCGTCTTTTCCACTTCGTATCCGATCTCTTCGGCGATTCCCATTGTCTTGGCAGTAAGAGAGCCGTACATGGAATTGACCGCGCCGGTATCGGTGCGCTCTTGCTGTTTAGCAGCCCGGAGCGCTTTCAAGTCCCCGGCTGCCGGTTGGGGATTCTGTTCCACCTCTGGATTTTCTGATCGGTCAGCGGAACCCTTTTTGTTGAGCTTGGGTGGCGGGTATCGATATCTGGCTCCGGAGAGCGAATGAGAGCAGCAAGGTATTGAGATGAACGGTAAGGGGGATGCCGGGTTCGAGAGGGCAGCCATAAGCGGCGTCCACACGGTGAGTTCGTCTGCATGATTCGAGATAATGAATGTGTTCTCCGGAAACATGCCTGTGTGCGTTTTCACACCAATGTCCACTTCCGAGTCTGTGCACACGTGCGCAAAAGGCTTGGGTATATATATTTCCTCCTTGAGTCTCTCCTGGATTGACGACGGGAATATACTCCAGGTCTTCCGACGACGAGCATCAAATCCCCAGCCATGGTACCCTTCCGAGAGAAGCACATAGACAAGCACCCCGTTTCCACAAGCGACATCCACAAATCCGGGGAATTTCGAGTCGTACTTTTCTTTCTCATTCTGGTCTGGGCTTCTCTCATCTGCGGGCACAACTCCGTACATACTCCTCCACAGCTCAATAAGGAAGGCCGTGATCGAGAGATCTTCGAAAACATGCTTGTTCGGTTCGGTATCCTCGACCCAATTCTGACATAGGTCCGCCGCGTACTTCAATTTGAGTCGCGCGTAGGTGTCTTGTACGAGGTGCCTTGGTATCACGTTATCTTTGTGCGGGTTGTAGTTCCCTCCTTCTGGCTTTTCGTCCAGGCGCGTCTGACGAGCAAGCCGAATCTGAGTACTCAGCAGCGCGAGCAGAGTGCGCTCTAGGCGGTTCTGAATTGGTTCTTCCTCGTATGGCAGGAAGTGGACGGACATTACCCCTGTCCCTTTCTTCCCTTCGGATGAATGTAGAGAAGCATCGGGTGTGAAATCATACAAGAAGCCCAATGATCGTAACAGGGGGTGGTACCACGGCATCTCCTCCTTGGACGAGACATGCGGTAGGTAGATGACCAAGAAGCGTTGGCCAGGCGACTCAGCCTTCGACTCGCATTGCCCGCTTTGAGAAAGATCTGTACTGGTAGGCGTTGGGAGGAGTTCATCCGCCTCGTAAAAGTGACAGGTTTGTTCGAGGGGCCGGTCCAAATTCTTATTCCTAGGGATGAGCCTCCTCACAATGGTCCTCCTCAGTTCAAATCCAGGTACATCCCTGGCGGGAAGAGGCTCGACATGGTCTTCTTTTTGAGCATCCTTGTTTGTGCCGCCGTTCCCATGATCGTGGCTTTTCTCCTTCGCGTGCGGGGCGCTGAGGACCCCCAGGCTGTCATAAAGAATATCCGCACGGAACAAGTGGCTTGAGTTCAGGTTGGGATTCGCCAACAGGAATACCGTCATATTTTGAATAACCTCCGGAGTGAAATGGAGGTCCCCCTCTATCAGATCTGGCGAGGTTACCCATCCCTCCTGCAGGGCTTTCAGGACGGGTGACGGCTCTATCGTTTCAGCCAGGGGTTTCCCTGAGAGCTTAGTGACATCTCGTGGGTTCTTCTTCACGTTCCTCGGCATGTTGTAATTGTTCAGCGGCCAGCGGGCCTTGTCTCCTAATATCTTGCTCTGTTTGCTGATATAGTGGCGGTTTAAAGAGCGGCGTGATATGGTTAAATATTTATCGGTCTCGGGCGGTTGAGAAAAGCTTACCGCAACGACGCGGTCAGGATTCTTATATTTCAGAGCACACCTTTGTGATCCAATACAAATAGAACTTGCAATTTTGCTGTCAAATACTGCATACTACCTGATCAGATTTGATCTCGCTTATTGATCTGGTTAGTCATGTAACACCGTTCCTGCTCTTTGCAAGCACCAGCCCTATTGGGCGTTTAGTGCGCCTCTATCATGAGCCATAAAGGCAGAAACTTTGTCTCTACCCTATTTTCTCTGGATTTCATCATACAAATACCCTTGTGAACAATCATTTGGACGGGCAAAAAAAGAGTAAGATGGAAAAAAAAACAAATCTCCCCGACAGGGAGTCGAACCCTGGTCTCCCGCGCTCGTTCTCTATTGAGTGACAAGCGGAAATCATGACCGTTAGACCATCGAGGATTTCTTATGGCCAAGATCCGCTTATTTAGTTATATCTCGCAAACGACACCAACCCAACCAGTAAGTCGGCATCTCCAATCGTCGGCTGGCTTTCATTGTTTATTATTCACGGAGTACCTCCGTAGTTTCATTACTACGTAACCACAGAAGCTATCAACACATTTCTCTTCCCAATATCTTCCCAGCATGTCGTCTGTCGATGTTCCTAATCCGTCCCAGTCTCATTCGTCATCTCCTTTAACATTGCCATCGGCTTCGACTGCGACTTCGACCTCTGCCTCTAATGAAACGCCTACTTCTCAATCAACCTAACGCGCTCAGGGATCAGGTCCTTTACTTGGTCCCTGTTGTCGGTGTTCCGATCATTGGATGAGTGTCAAGCCAACTCATCCCCTATATGACCTGCCGCATTGTGTCTTCTCCAGTAAACGTGGTCGGCGTTGTGAGAAGTGTGCTAAGACCCATGTGATTTGTACTCCGGTAATCTCTTCGTCTCAGCTTTTTACACCTTTAATTGAATCGGCTACCGGATGCTGTATTGCAGCGTCCCCCACGTCTTCTTCATCGGAAGTCTCGCTTGGAGCGGGAATCCCGTCGGTTTCTATAGGAGCTCCGTAAGGTTGCCGATTCTGCCTACGGCCATGGTTAATGTATTATATACATCTCTCTGTGTGGCCGGCTTCATCATGCTGGCTTGACTCTTGTCGCCTACTCGATGCACCCGACGTTGCGTCGTCATCTGCTGTCCACCCTAATACATATGCACCCGATTTGCCGCTGTATCGAGATCACTAGTCATCTTGAACGCATGGAGTGCCCCTCAACAGTCGGTCGATGCAGAAGAGAAGCTGGTTATAACCTATGGCTCTTCTCATTCTAGCACATACGACCATAGGGTGTGGAAAACAGGGCTTCCCGTCCGCTCAGCCGTACTTAAGCCACACGCCGGCCGGTTAGTAGTTGGGTGGGTGACCACCAGCGAATCCCGGCTGTTGTATGTTTTTTCCTCACCTGGTCTTTTCTTTTTTGCTTTGTCGTATCCATTGCTGTTCTTGCTGAAACCTTCGAGGCAGATGCTGCCGCTGTCAGAACCGGTGCTGCCCCTCAACAGTCAATCGATGCGGAAGACAAGCTGGTTATAACCTATGGCTCTTCCTGTTCTAGCACATACGACCACAGGGTGTGGAAAACAGGGCTTCCCGTCCGCTCAGCCGTACTTAAGCCACACGCCGGCCGGTTAGTAGTTGGGTGGGTGACCACCAGCGAATCCCGGCTGTTGTATGTTTTTTGCTCACCTGGTCTTTTCTTTCTTGCTTCGTCGTATGCCACTGCTGCCCTCTGAAGCCTTCGACGCACATGCAGCCGCTGCCTGTGCTGCTCCAACAACGTCCACCTCGCGAGAACGCTCCTTCAGTGCGATCCCGGGGTCGAGGATCCTTGCTCGGCAGCAGAAAGAGATAGACCGGAGCACAGAAGGCGCCAATAAGCAGGTCGATGTAGAAGGCCCAGCGCCAGCCCACGAAGGACTCACTGAATCCTTCTCCAACGCAGGACCGAGAACAATTCCAATCCCCCAGGTCAAACCAGTTCCACCCACATACAGCGGGTGCTCTGGCTGCGAGGTCGTCATAGCAATGAGCGTCATGACACCGACATACAGACCTGCGCGCCACCCCGCACAAGGCACGTCCGACATGGAGGAGGGTGCGGTGTATCTGCAGGGGGTTCCCCGACTAGTGCATCGATCACAGGTGCTCTGATTCCCTGTACACTTGACCTTCGCTGTGCGACTTGATTCACAAACGGTGATTGGTCGGCGAACTACTGGCCGGACACCATCAGCCGTAGGGCATTGCCAACTCTGGATAAAGTTGTGAGGGATGCTCTCGTTGCGGAGCTTGCGGCGCTGTGGAGTGGTCATGGTTATGCCGCCGCGGATGACGCTAAAAACCTGCCGCGGATCACATACATTCTCTCATGGAAATATAGGATCGACTATGGGCAGGACCCCAACTCAAGCAATCCCATCTCGGACTAATCCAAGGTTAAAGTACCGCAACTTCCTCTATTCCTAACTCTGCTCCCCCGCCGGCTAAGCCCCTAAAAGCCCAATAAGCAACTGCTGGATCTGGCAAAATAGATTTCAATCATCTGAGCCATAAAATTTGCGGCACTTCTTGCGTTGAGAATGATGCTGACAGTTCCGATCTAGTCCTAAGGTAGCCTCTTCTTAGAAATGATGCTATCCAGTATCAACTTACCCGTTGGACCCACTCATAGTGCCAAGGTTTAAGGTAAGGTAGGAGCCGGCCCTTTGTCCCGAGGACGACTGACTAATAGAGTTTGATGTATGCCTAAAATAGTTCTGCACAACGCAGAGCGCGGTTTTACGAAGCAACAGGAGTATGAAAGCTCATGTCTCGAAATTCACTTGATCTGATGCTGCCAAGGCTGGATAAACCCACTTACCCAAGCATCTCAATGCCTTCAACCCAGCATGTCTGGTTAGACCAGGCAACTCAAAACGACGGAGTCCCTGATCAGGGGGGGAATCTCAATGTCGGATGTTAGAGTGAGAGCTGAGATGGCCAGCAGTAGCTTCATTTCATCCGTCTGAATCGAACGGGTCGTCGGACCTGGCGGATATGAGTCTCAGGGCAATGCTGAACCGGAGGGTCGACGCGCGCAGAATTAGAGGGGTAATTTCATTTGCGTATGACGGAGCTTTTCTAATGCGACAATTGGGAAGGTCTGGAACAAGCTTCTGTCTTTGATTGCGGTCCCTACTTTTCTCCTGCCGAAGCTTTGGGGTGAAAGAATTTGACGCCCCACGGGCTCAAGGCACAAGCATATGATACACTGGTATGGCGCTCTACCCTAATCCTCTGAAAGTATGGCCCAGGGAGCCACCAATATACTGCATCTGGAACAACTTCAATGGTGCTCCATATTTCTTCAACGACTGGACGGTCTCTGCTGAGATACTGGTCCACAGGATCGGCATGAACTTTTCCAGAGCGGTGTTCAGTTGGTACAATTACAACTATGGACGGCTGTGCGACGAAGGGTTCCAGCACAAGCTCGTTGTCCGCACCACAACCTAGGACTGTATGCTCAAAAACTCCCTTGCGGGCTTCTGGGGTCTGGAGGAGACTGGAAAGGCCAATCTGCTTCCCATGACTGAAGACTACAGCTTCAAGAAGAACGCTCTACGGGTACTTCCTGCAGAATCAGCGGACGCTTTATCTGCACGCCCGCTTCGACGAATGCGCGTACCGCAGTGAACGGCTGGTGCGAGCTCTGCACGTCATGAACAATCAGAGATAGAGCCTGCAAAGGGCCGAATACGAGTACCAGTGCTTTTGGCTACTGGGGTTCCTGCTAACTAAATGCAAGGGGTTGGTGTCCAGTATAGAGACTCAAGCTTATGTAGTGTTATCGTAATTATCAGTCATTATTATATAAAGTTTTAGATTGCTGTTCCTCTTTTGCCGAATTGCGTTAACACTCTAGGCAGTTGATAGAGGAGCGGAACAGACAAGCCCGATAAGCTATCAGCTCAAATGACGCAGTTACCCACCAGACTAAATAATGCGCCCCTCACCCGCAGCGCAATCTTGAACTTCCCACTTATTTTCTGTTCTGTCGCTAGGGTTAAAACAACTAAACATCGCACACAGATATTGCAAATACAAGGGGAAATATGACACCCCGTTGCTTCATTGTCCGTCACGGCGAGACAGAATGGTCCCTTAACGGGCGGCACACCGGCACCACCGACTTGCCGCTTACAGCAAACGGCGAGAAACGGATCAAGGCAACGGGCAAAGCGCTGGTCGGCAATGACCGACTGATCGCTCCAAAGAAGCTTGTGCATGTGTATGTCTATGGATTTTGCAATTATTCTAAAATTAGCCTCGATTGGAGACAATCGGGTGTAGATGACAACAAGAAATGACGACGAGAGATGCCAGGTTGATTCTGACGCTAACGATGACCGACTAGCTACGTATCTCCCCGCACTCGCGCCCAACGTACCCTTGAGCTCCTCGAAATCGGCTGCAAAGAGAGACTCCCATGGACCGAGGCCAGAAAATCAGAAGAGGAGGAACCCATCCGCACGGAAGCCAAGGTGGAAATAACCGACGCGATCCGGGAATGGGACTACGGCGATTATGAAGGATTGACGAGTAAGCAGATCAGAGAGCTGCGGGAGAAGAACGGCCAGGGGCCGTGGGATATCTGGAGGGATGGATGTCCAGGTGGAGAGTATGATCCCGCTTGCAGCTTAAGATCCCCTTCGTCGTGGCAGGACTTGCGCAGAAGCTGATGAAATAAAACCGGCCAGATCCCCAGAAGACGTCATTCGTCGACTTGATGCCTTGATCGCCGAGATTAGGGAAAAATACCACAGCAAATGCTTCGAGGGTTCCTCAGGCGGTAAAGGGGACGTTCTGATCGTTGCACACGGTCATATCCTGCGTGCATTTGCCATGCGCTGGACTGGAAAGCCACTCTCGGAGACGACGCTGATCCTGGAAGCCGGCGGAGTCGGTACATTGAGGTGAGTTATTCCCGGTGACCGTGCTTCCCTCGATATGTCTCTTTCTAAGCCGGTCCAGTTACGAACACCACAACATCAACGAACCGGCAATCATCCTCGGTACCGCCGGTTTCGTCGTAGAAGGGTAGGGCCGTGACACAGACCTTCCCACCGGGCGTGAGACATCTGTGTCGGTCAGCATATCCCAACAAACGATATAGATAACGAATCCCAGATATAACCGCATCATAGCATCCTCCAATGCCATCCAAGAGTCCACGAAGAATACTTACCCTGTACAATCCGTAACAACGGAAATTTCACTCAAGATTCCGTCTTCACGTTTGCCTCCTCCCCTTTATCCCCTTCACCACTTGAAGCTAAACCGGAACCTGAATTCCCTTTTACTCCTTCCTCCCCCAAAACCTTAGCAGACCCCATAAACAAAGCCCCGACATACCCGCCCAGAAAGCGCATATCCTCCGCCTGCACAGCCGTCATGCGCAGCAGATTCTGCGTGTCGGCGAGATTGGCATTCAACTGCTCCAATTGCGAATGCAAATGAGCGTACTGCCGCGTTTTGGCGGCTGACATGCCGAAGTTTCCCATCCCTGACTCCGCTGACGACGAGGCCGATGCGGTGGTTGAAGTTGGGAGGATGGAATGGCGGGGGTAGGACTGAGAAGGGTAATGTTGATGGGATGGTGGTGGCATCGTTGCGTACGCGGTTGGTTTTTTTTATGTAGGTGTAGAGATTGTAAATAAACGAGGATCTGATAGAGTGCTATCGATCTATGTTATACACTCGAAGAGTTAAGAGAGTCGACTGTGGGGAGGGAGGTAAATTTGGCGCGATGTTTTTTGATGCTTTGTTTACGGGGATGATTGGTCACGTGGCACTATGGAGACCCAGTGACAACACCCGATAAGCCCGTCTGATTCGAGTTCTCAGTGTCAAGGGAGATCAAGGACAGTGCATATGGGTGAAGCTTGAGATAGATTTTCTACAAGGCGGTTATTATGAGTTTATTCTAATGATGCAGTCTCTTTCTGTTTATGCAAACGTGTGGATTATTCGAAACACTCATCGCGACATGGCAGGATAATCTTCTATCAATCATGTGTTCTTCTGCACTCATTCGTTGCTCAATAGAACGGTTCTCCTGCATTTAATGAAGCCGTTACAGTTAAGAGGACCGCCCTCCCTTGTGACTACCTCGCGAGGCGCGAACTCAGCCAGATTAAGTCGATCGATCGACCGGATAAGTCGGAACCCCTGCTCTTTTTGATGCGCCAGAACCAGACCATGAACTTGCGAGTGTCAAAGGCTGCTGGACCTTTTGCAAAGTCCCTATAAAAATTCAGAACAGATGCAAGGAATTTCAGAAAGGAGGGCATGCAGGTATGAGAAAAAGGGGAAAAAAAAAAGATGGTAAGATGATAGGAGGACATGAGAAGCTGCTTGCAAGAATGATGCGCCGGTACAGGTAGTGTACAACAATGACGGTCATGCAGAGGGGGAAATGGAATGTAAAGTTGACTGATTGGGACTTGTTATTGGCAGTGGTTTAGCTGCGAAAGTAAAAAAAGAAAAAGCAAATTTTCAAGGCCGAGCTTTGGACTCGCTGTCATTAAAAAGAGTGCTGTGGGAAAGGGAGATAGTGAGCAAAGCATAAACGCAAAAGCACGCCCGCCACTCCGAAACCCCGAAACGAAAAGCATGATGAAACAAGAAAGATGACCCCTATGTCCCTTGTGTATATGTAGAGCAGCGAACAACACGGTATTATAAGTGATTGACCCTGTTCCTGACGTCGGCGAGCGTCTGTACTGATTCAAGTCTAAGTGGAATTCAAGCATTCAATGTGAGGTATCTCGGAATAGCGTGGACGCCAATCCCATAGGCAGAAACGAAGCAGGAAGGCAAAGACATGAAGAAATCAACAGGCAAAAGCTCAACAACGGTCTGAGGAGACTCAGAAGAGAGGCCAAGGCTCGCCAATTAACGAACCGGCATTGCAGCCTGCTGAGCGCCTAGGCTGATTTGGCTGCTATGGGCGGAAGCTTCGGAGTCCAGATTCGCACTGGCTCCGCTATCACCACTCTCCGCGCTGGCGCTCGCACTTCCAGTCAGACTTCTATGCTTGGGAGTGCCCTTGGCGGGATACGGGTTGCTCACCCCATAATGTTGCTCAACTTGCTGCGGACCTACCGCATTGCCATGTCCAGGAGGATATTTCGGAACAGGTGCCCGCATGTTGCCAGGCGGCGACGGATGGCCGCCGTGAGGACCAGGGGCACCAAGAGGTTGATCTTGAGCGGTTGGAGGTCGTCCCATTCGCGGACCGGGTCCGCCATAGGGGGTAGCAGGGGACTGG